AACCACTTTCAACAGAATGTTGCTCTTGCTAGGATAATACCCCCACCATTGACGGGGATGGGAGAAAACTAAAACGACTCCTGGCCCTTGGTTTTGTGGAGAAAGCCAAGTAGGGAAGGGAGATCAGAAGGGCTTATGTAACCCAGGCAAGACTCCCTGCTTCACTAAACTTGTTTGGCACCTTACCTTGGTTTGGGCCACCTGGTAGGCTGTGTTCTTCCAAACCAACCCTTTTGTGGTTTACTGTGATGAGCTGGTTTACAGGACATGCTAAGAGAGTGGCTAGATGTCCCCTATACAGATCACAACTCCAGCCCAGTTCCTTTCCCTTTGGAGCTGGACAAGCCAGTTCCTGGCCAGGCCTTGCAAATCACTCCCCCACGGGCTTCCCAAACTCCAGATTTGGCTCCTCTTGAAAACTGAGTTTGCAATTTGAGGGACCCTTGGCCTGATCCACTGTGGCAGTCCGGTCCAACCATCCTTGCAGTTGTGCGTGGGGCAGGGAGTGGGGGGAGGCAGCTGGTGAATCCCTAGGGAAGCACGCAGGCCTTCAATCTTTTTCTGCATATTCTGGAGTCACAATTGCTGGAAAACATTTTGAAGCAGGGAACTCTAAAAGAAGCAGTGGTGAATGCCCCCAGATAGGCTTAATGTTTAAAAACAGACATCCAAGCGATCCCAGAATCACTCCTATAAATGAGAGCGCCTCTGAATCACCCCCCCCAAAATGGTAACTGTGGAAGCCCCCCCCCAATAGCCAGTTAATCCAGCTGTAGCACATCCCTGTTTTCTGATCTCCAGCTGACCTGGAGACCTCAGGACTGCTCACGAAGCTTATCAATCTGCGCACAGAAACGTTGCTTCCGTCTGATGCTGTGCGAAGGGACCGCCCTTCCAGACGCTTGCTTTTCAAGCCCTAATGTCATTCTCCGATCCAAAGCAACCTTTTATTTATTTAATGAATTTGAATTAATTAGCTGCCCAGAGTACAAAAAATCTGATCCAAAAGGGAGTAAGTTGGCTTCCTCCAAGCTTCCCTGCCAGAAGCAATTTTAAATCAGGGTCATTTATATATAATAATATATATATGAATGAATGAACGAATGATCCGGTTTCTACCCTCCTAACTGAATTTGCAGTTCTCTGGTGGGATTGTGTTGCTTTTTAATAACGGGACGCTTCCTTTTCCAGTAACAAAAATGCAGGGGGAGGGGAGGTTGCCAAAAAGCAAATGGCTGATTTCTAGCTAAAGAGGCTAATTTTTAACTTCTTGAGTTTGCCCCCAGTTCCCTTGGCACCAACAGCCATTTCTGCTCCTGGTCCGTCTTCCACACCTCCTTCACCTGCTTTCTCACTGTGTGTGCCAAAGCTCATGATTTCAGAAATATGTGAAGAGGCTCAAAATGACTGAAAACACCGCTGGGTGCCCATGCTGCACAAAACCATAGTTTGCTTCATAGTGACTTGTTGAAAAGAAACACCGCTTCACACAACTTATTAAGATAAAAACCGAATGAATTACATTAAAGCTCACAGCCTGGGTAATCTCTGAACTGCAGGTGGCCTCCGTGGACTTCTGTCACCCCAAGATTAGACTGTTGAAATCCATTTTGACCTGGGTTTTTTTTTTTTACAGAAAGCAAAGGAAGTAGGCTTGTTAAGCCTCTGCGAGATCTTTTGGAGCCTACTTTCTCACTCAAAGCAGCCAAATAGGTTAGTTCTGCCTCCTTAAAATTAAAGTCACCTTGTCTCTTGCAGGCCTGGCTGGCCTCGAATAAGAAAAATTTACAAGTAAGGTATTTGGCTGCAGAAAAGATGCCTCGCGGCCACTCAGTGCAATGGATGAAGCCAGCCGATCGAGAAATAGTCACAGAAAGGGAAAATGCACTCACAGCCCAAGCAGTGTACCACGGCGGGAGCTGCTACAGAATTTGGTGTGTGCGCACATGTGCGTGTGCACAGCAGGAGAACCTATTCCGCACTGTCACTCCGCCAAAGGGCCCTTAAAAGAAGAAGAGAGCTCAAGACTTAATTCCTCTTACAGTAATTACCAGTCAAGGGGCCAAGGTATATACATATTTTATTTTTTAAAAAGTTTACAGTTTCTTTAATTATACACAACTATTCTGAGAGGTTATAATTCTTGGAAGAGGCATTCGCCACAGGGCCTGGCCCCCCCACTACGTCATCGCAATGCAAAGAGGGGCAGCTCAGACGCCAATGGAAGGGCTGGACATCCCGTTTGACCTCTTCAAGTATTCACACAATGTACCAAATACACTCTGGGAAGTTAAACAAAAACAAAAAACCTGGCCATTTCTCACGTGGCACCCACCCCTGCTTCCAGTGCCAGAACAACACAGAGCTAGAGAAATCCATGTACTAGATCCCAACCTGGAATGGTGCACGTTGCAACGGCCACCCCGATTAACTCTACCCATTGCTACTCATTCCAAATCTAGCTGCAGAACACTAGCGTAGTCCAAAAGCTAAAATATTTTCCATCTTTCTTGTTCAAGCCTCCTCCCCACACCGAGGTAGGAAGACACCAACCAACCAGGGAAACGAGAGGTTACAGAAGCTGTCCCAGAACTCTTGATTTTACATCTTTCTTGACCCATCTACGCTCAAACCAAAAAATAAACACCTCCACGTGCTACCCACTTGAATTAAGGGGACAAGACCAGGGTCATCCGGTCAGTGTGAAGCGGGCCCCTGCAGCTTCACTTCCATATACTTTATTTAGCAACTTAAGATACAGGAAGAGCTGCTTAAGACACTGCTCAACAGGTGAATCGGGGAGACAGTTAAGAGAAAAGATGGAAGAAATTTTGTGTGCTTCAAGGAAAACTTTGAAAGCCTCCTGAAGACGGGGCTAGATTGCAAATCAAAAAGGATGCGGGAAGTTTCCCAGGCAGATGGCTTAGTGCTCAGAGGGATTCGCTCAGCAACAATTAAATCTGAAGATTGGATTGTCATCTCAACAGGCAGTCTGAGAAGGAACATCAGCACCGCCAGCGGTTGGCAGTTATGACGACGGTGTAATCAACTGAAGACTGCTCACCCAACAGCGAGCGAAGATCTTAGCAAGCCAGAGAAAGAAAGGAAAGGGGTTGGGGAGGGAAAAGGAACAGAGAGCAACCTGTTCCAAGATCAGTGATGTGAAGGAGAAAGAGCTGAAAATTGCTCCATTTAGCTAAATGCTTCCGAGGTGGTTCCTCACAAACTGTTTCTTTCAAGCTTGATCCCATGAAATCACAAACATTTGGCCAACCATGATCACTAGGTTAAGTCAATACATCAAAGAACGTCAGAATTGTCTGCAACTGTCTGGGTGTATAAGGCTGTGTGTGTGACACCTATGTTCAAAAACCAATTCTAGCTGACCGTAAACCTTCATCTGAGCCATGAACATTCAAGAGATGAGATCCAGTGACAGATGCCAAAAAAGGCCTTTGCGAACCAAAGACTTGGAAGGGAAAACAGGAGTCAGGGCTAAGTTTGGGGGGAATGTCGTGTAAACATGGGTCATCTGTTGGAAATCTTTTTTTTTTCTCTCCTTAATTAAAACCAGAATTGTGGCTTTGCTTGGGGGAAAAAAGGGTGTTAATTTACGAGTGCAGCGTTGTCAAAATCTCAAAAAAATATCAGGATTCAGACTTTATTTTATTTTTTTTTAAAAAAAGAAAGATTACCTGCATAAAGGGAATTAGAACACTAGCATTTATATATACAATCTTGGGGAGCAGAAGGGAACCATTTATTTTGTTTAAATTGGTACTCCTATCATGATAGATAGCTTGGCACTCAAGTCTAGGCCTAACGGCACCTAAAGGTCATTGCACAGGTAGACCAATTAGCAGCACATTTAAGGCAGACCATCCCCATCGTGCGCCCTCCCCCCCCCACCCCCTGGCTGTGCTGGGATGGCAACTGCAGGAGGGCACCAGGTAGGGGGAGGTAATCGAGAGGGTCCCGCTAAAGGGGCAGCCCCTCCATGTCTTCCATCAAGACCCGGAGTGACGAAACGCAGTCTCCTGTTGCACGGTCAGTTCAGCTACTAACCGCAGCCCAATTTCACTGCTTTTTCAATGTTTAAGGAAAGGAAAAGATTATTACTATTAATATTTTTTGCTTTATGCCCATAGTTCGAATACTTGGTAAGCTTTTGCTTTATTAAAGGAAAATAATCATGCCAAAGTTAAGTTCTACTTTACAGATCTTTCCAAAAGGGAAGAAAGCAAATTGATCACGGTTTAAGATTGTACTCTTTTGTTACCCCCCCAAAACACACACAAACTCCCCGACTCCAAACTCCGATGGCATTTAAGAAACAACGGGGGGAAAATAATACAATTTACCAAGCTTCTCTTGACATTCAACATTCTGCTCGAGTCACCCTCTACTTTACAGATCTTTCCAAAAGGGAAGAAAGCAAATTGATCACGGTTTAAGATTGTACTCTTTTGTTACCCCCCCAAAACACACACAAACTCCCCGACTCCAAACTCCGATGGCATTTAAGAAACAACGGGGGGAAAATAATACAATTTACCAAGCTTCTCTTGACATTCAACATTCTGCTCGAGTCACCCAAGTTCTGTATACTGATCCTAGAAGATGCACCAAACCCACCCCAACCCCCCCTTCTCAACATCCTGTCCCCAAATTTCTAGAAATGCAGAGGAAGCAGCATCCAGGGCGCAGCTCCATCCCACCGGACACTCTTGCTATGATCCATATTCAAGCATCATCAACATCCCAGGTAGGCGTTTCTGGTCTGAGGCTCTTTTCCCACTGGACGGAGGGGCGGGAGGGACCCATCACGCACTCAATTAGCCAAGGAAGGAAGGAATTCTCATTTGGGGCACCTCAGACACCGCCTTCGTTATCCAATTCCCCCCTTCTTTAAGAAGAGCACCCTTCCAGCCCATCGTGGTGGGATCTCTCAGACTGTCTGGCCTGCTCGCACAAGCACGGCAAACGGAAAGCAGAAGTGATGGCAAGCACGGGCACGGGGAGGGGGCAGGGTGGGGCGAGGAGGAAATTGTGACCAGGGACCACAAGCGCCAACGCAACCTTTCCCAGGCTCGGAGCACTTGGCCAAATCCACCCGGTCAGAAAGCTCTTATTGAAGTTCACCTTGACAGTGTTTGCAGAAACATCAAGAGAGCGAGAGGGTGTGTGTGTGTGTAGAATTACTACTGCTGGTGGTTTGGACAAGGGGACCAGAATGGATTGGGTTCAGTGTACTCCGAGTTAGCTACCCCACCCTTGGGCAGGGCTCCCTTAAGGAGAGAAGGGAGACAGACTGCGGATCCAGAGGAACGAGGCGACTATTCCTTGAGACGCCGGCTTTCGAAAGTTTCCCCAAGCAAACTAGATACCACCACCGCCATCGCTACCATCACCAGTCTAAGCAGACAGGAAGTCCATTAAAAGAAGCATCCTCAGAATCACCGCTGCTTTGTAAAAATCGGACACTTCGAGAGCTCCATGCCTTCAGTTGGTGGACTTTTTTTTTTTTAAAGAAAAAAAGATGAACTCCAAAAGTGTACGCAGCCAAGTTGAAATGAAGGAGCACCGTTGACTTCACTGCCTCATCTTTCCATCATTTATCCCCCCCCCTCCATATTTCTCCTTTACATTCTGAAAGTGCTGTTCCACGTTTGCATCCAAGGGTGTCTGCTGTCTTTGGAACGCTTAACTAAAAAAAAAAAAGGAAAGAAAAGGAAAGAAAAAAGAAAAACCAGGAAAAAAAAAAGGGAATATCCAGACCCTCTTCCGAGCAAAGCAGCAGCTTAGGGTTGACTCAGCTGAAATGGAATTATGAATGGATGCAAGCATGCACCCAGGTTCATATTGCTACCAAGTGGAATGTCGGAAATGCACGGCAATGCATTTTGGGCTCTGAGAAATGACCAAAAAAAAAAAAAAAATCAAGAACTAAAGGGTGATATATATATATGTATATATATCTCAATGCTATTATTCATAAAAACCTTGTTTAGTAATAAAAAATTGCTTTGTTTAAATATGAATATTATAGTCTGCTTCTCAGCGCATGGTTAGGAAGTCAGTCTTTCCGAAAAGCAGGACGCTGCTTCTACTACAATTCCATATCCTGGGCTTCGTCCTCTGAAAAGTCAGACATGGAGCTCTCTGAAGAGCTGTCTCCGGTCCCTTCTTCCTGCTCTTTTAGTGCTTCTTCTGTTGCATATTTCTGAATGTATTCTGAATGAAGGGTGGGGGGGAGGAAGAGGGGAAAAAGAGAGGAAATGATCAACTCAGACGTTCCAAGGTCAAAGCGCAGGCATTCTGACATACACGCAGTGCAAAGACACGCTTGATCCCTACTGGTACAAGGGGCATCCAACAACCCAACATTGTTGGATACTCCTTAGACTGACATTTGTTCAAAACAGTTACTCTTTGCCTTATTTGCAGAGTACAATGGAGTATCCACACTCTCACGTCTTCCAAGGCGATAAAACAGAAAGCCAAGTGGAATAGTTTTATACATCTGCCCACCCCATCAGATCTGGCAGAGAAGGCATGCTGTGGATCCCGTCTGCCAGGGAATGCCATTTGGCGGGTCCCAGGAGGCGGCCCTTCTCTGCGGTGGCACCCGCCTTGCGGAATCTTCTCCCCCCGGGAAGTGAGATTAGCTCCATCCCTCTCGACATTCCGTGAGTCCCTCAAGACCTGGCTGTGTGATCAGGCCTGGGGCTCCCAGGGGACCAGGGAGACTACGATGGCTCCCTTATTGATTTTATCCCCTCCTGTTTTGTGTGTGTCTTTACTGTTTTTTATAGTGTTTTATGTATATATTTTTTAATTGTTGTACACCGCCCAGAGTCACCTTGTGTGAGATGGGCGGCTATATAAATATGATAAATAAAATAAAAATGCAAAATGGCACAGCTGGGAAGAACAAGGGGACTGACGGGGCCTGCTCTAAAACTCAAGGTGGCAACAAAATACCGGAGCTACCACTTCGAGGTGGGGGCAGGGATATGAAGAATACTTTGGAATTGCTTCCAGATGCATCACCGTAATGTATGACCTAAGACAGGAGAGTCCTGGGCCTTAACCTCAGCTTCTGTGCTAAGGCAAGAGACAGAAGGGAGAGTTCGGATAAAGGGAAGAGGTGGTTAAATATAGGTTAGGAGTATGTGAGCAGCAACAAGACGTATCAGCAGAACGGGGAGACCCCTTGGATTTGCTTAGCGTGTTTGCCAATAGCGTTTCCCATTCTGCTCCTTTGCAGCTTCTTGCCTGACGGGATGGAGCATTCAGAAATGCAAATTTCTCTCCACGCGAGATAATCCAGCAGGCTCCTTCATGTGCAGAAAAGTTCTCGGACAGAGGCACAGAGGGCAGATACCTGCACACAGCTGTCCTGCCTGGCCTTCTCAAACATCGGGCAGGGCAGAGTTATTTCAAAGCTCTATACCTCACAACCCTTTTAAATCCACCGGCCAAACAAAAGACCAAACGCTCCAGAAAAGCAAAGCTCAATTCAAGGATAAGGTGTAATTAAAAAAAAAAAAGAGCTTAAGCCACCTTGGCACGCTACGTAAGTGAAATGCTTCCATGCACGTGTGAAATGCAGCCTTTGAAAAGATGGTGAACTACAATTCCCAGCATCCCTTGCTATTGCCCACGCTGGCTGGTGCAGCTGGAAACTGTAGTTCAGCAACTTCTGCAGCACCACCAGTTGGACACCCAAAGCTTTGATGTCCCCAGGCCAAGAAGGGTTTAGTGGTCCCTTGGGGGACAGAAGGAAAGCTATCTGCTCTTCCACACACAGGGTGCCTCCATTCCTTCTTCCTCCCACCTTTCCTTTTCAAAGAGTGATACCTCAACCGCTGTTGGGGCTGGAGAGAGCGGCTTTAGGAGACAGGTAGGAGAAAGCCCATCTTTCTGCCCACAAATGGCATAATTTCAAGCCACCTCCCTCCAATGCGGATTTCACCAGTTTCAGGTTATGCCTCGCTCATCCCAAAAAGCAATTCCCCCTGTGGGAAAGGGATGGGAGGTAGGAGGAAGAAGTAAAATGGACTGCACACTTCGGAAAGCCCGCTCTGGGACTGTCAGCTGGTCCGTCCTGGGGCCAACCCTGTGAACTTTAGCCACAATTCATGGTCCGGGCAAGGAGGTTTAACCTGACTGGGTTGCAAGATTTCTAGAATGGCCACCCTGGGAGAAATGCCACATTTGCCCTGGAATGAATAGGATAGTTGGGTACGTGTTTTCTCTTTACTAGGTAAGACCCCATAACATAACCCTCTTCCTTCGGCCTTCCACCCAAGTCTTACCTTTAATTTTCTGTTTGTATTCTTCTGGTCGGTGAAGGTACATGGCTGCCGCGTCACCATTAAGGGGATCTATGGGGTTGGGATAGGCCAGCAACTGGGGCAGGAACGACTCAAATATATTGGTAAGATCTGAAAGGATCAACACAAAAGATCTGAAAAACGACGTGTTGTATCTGAACCAGACGGTCAAAAGAGTCTTCTATTCTTATCTGGTTATGTTTACATTGCTTTTCCCACCTCCCTGTATGGAGTCCCAGATGTTCTAGGATGGTGGTTCTTCAACAGACCCAATAACCCTTTTCCTGATCTTGAATAATGTCATGACCTCCACAAAAGGATCAGAGTCTGTTGTTTTACATAAGTGTCTCGACAGAGGCAGTCCCCAACTGATCCCCCACTCCCAAACAAGCAGTTACAAATTGCTCCATTACCCCCAGGATATGCCCAAGTGACCCACAGTGGTTTAAGAACCATTGCTCTAGGAGCTGTGCAAAAATGAATGGGAGGCCCAGCACACAAAAACAGAGGAACAGGAAAGTGGGCAACATTTGCTTAACCTAACGTGGGACGAAAAGCTTTTAACAGAGCACTCACATTAGAATAACCCATTTGGGGAGAAAGATCTGTCTCTCTCCCCCCACCATAGTCTTTTTAGTAGTGCAAAGGTTTACACGCTGGCTTCCAAGGACGCCCCCAACCATTTCACCCAAAGGACTCAAGTCCCGCCAGGCTTCAATCAGTGTCATGCAAAAGTTGTTGGCCACGCCTGCACGCCAAGGGGTGGACACGCTTCTCCACTGCCTTTTACAAACCACCCCCAACTTCTTCTTGTTTTTAAACTCACCATAGAGAGCTGTCCAAGTCTGATTAATTACATCTAGACATACAGTTCCTGACCTGGAATAAACAGACAAGAGAAGTGGTGGCTTCAGTTATAACTAAACCCTGACAATACAACACAGAAACTAAGAGGAGGAGCTGGCCAGTCCTGAGTTCAGATCCTGCCTCACCAACAGCGTAGCCCAGGGGATGAACGTGGACCGTGCGACAGGTTGCGCAAAAGATTTCTAGTCAACCATTTTGAATTTAAAAGCCCCCCCACTGGAACTCTTGTGAGCTGGAAACACTCATTCAAGATACTCTAAGCCAGTGTTTCTCAACCTTGGGAACTTTAAGATGTGTGGACTTCAACTCCCAGAACTCCCCAGCTGGCTGGGGAATTCTGGGAGTTGAAGTCCTCAATCTTAAAGTTCCCAAGGTTGAGAAACACTGCTTTAAGCCATTCAGGTGGCAACATTTTGCACAATACTCTCTGCCTTCCATCTGTGGGATCAAAGATTCGGGCCGTTTCGAAGTTTGAAGTTTTGGGGGCAACCTAGATGACTTCAGCCCCACAGATGCTTAAGGTCTCCCTTGTGCTCTGCCCAAAGGGGCCTAGTCTCACTCATCTTTGCAGTGTGACTCTCCACACACCAGGAAAACCTGGTGGGGCCCTCAAGCCAACGACCTTGGGCACATCTGCACTCTTGCAACAGCAGAAGGCGAGAGATAGCTCACAGCCCATGGGCTGGCCTTGGGGTGATCTACAATGAGCCAGTAAGGATTTTCAAGTAGCAACCACCAGCTTCCCAACCCCAAATTAAGCTGCTGAAATAAAACATGGGCAGGTCAGGAGAGGTGTCTGCGCTGGAGACCACCAAATCAACAGCAGCTTTGAGGAGCTGAACAAAAATTGACACACCCATTCCTGAATTCCAGATGTGGGCATGTTTGGAAGTTGGAGGGCATTTGATGAATATTCTGCCTAAATAGCTCATATATGGAAATGGCTAGTTATACACCCAACCTACCAGAAAGGCTGTTTCCCACCACAGCTTCTAGACCTCAGGAAGCTATCTGCCACCCCAGCTTAACCATAACTTCCAACTACTTAGTTTTCAGTAAGATATATGGAAATAAACACAATGCCAAAGGTGGCCGCTGCTACGGCTCTGCTCGATGCCAACGTCCTCTTAATGTCAGAGAAAGCGAGGGAAACAGCAGGCATTGGGGGCTGTCTTTAAATCGACTCAAGATGAATTAATATATGGCGACAGCTGCACTCCTAGCTGGGTTTTTAAAAAGAACTCCCATTCTAAGCCAAGTCACTTCCATTACCTACCTAGACCAGCAAGGTTTATCCAAAGCCAGGCTCGGCCCTGCTAGCCCCCAACCCAGAGATAGCCACCCATCAACCAAGCAGATGCAGAAGATATTCCACGTGAGACTGGAAAAGAAAAGTTGTGAAAACTGGGGCTCACTGTCTTCCAGTTTTCTTTTAAGGGTTTGTGGCCACTCTTCTGCTTGCCTCCTATTGCAGGACTGGAGAAGATGGCAAAATGTTGAGGCCAAAGGCCTCCTTATTCCCATCCCATGTAATACGCATCTTTCAGTGCAAAACAGCTTAAGTCACTTACGCTTCATCAATGTTGGGATGGAAAATTTTATTCATGAATCCTACAAGGAGAGAAACACAAGAGTTGTTAGCAGCTAGGTACCATTCTCATGGGTTACGGGATGAACACATTAGGTGGTAGGTGGAACTCCTCATATCAAGAGAACATTCACCATTTGCCAAAAGGAGATTCTCTCCAACTGAATCCTCTTAAGTGATTTCCTTAACTTTTTAATATCCACCATTCTTATTTACGAAGTCAGTCTACCCAGTCTGCTTTCCAGTCTTGCATTGGGAAAAAAGCCACAGGCCCTTGAAACCTTGACATTATTGTTTGGTAAGCAAAATACCCCCCCAGGACAGCAAGAAAAAAATCCAGATGCCACTTGAATAAAACAGACTTCAGAACAGGAGGTGTCAAAGGGAGGCAACTGGAAAATTCTGCCACTCAACTCCCCCAAAAAGGATTGACAGCAGTTTTCCAGAGGTGAATTCCCTGGTTAAAGAGAAACTGAACACATCTAAAGAAGCTCATCTTAGTCTTTTAAAGCAAGTATTCAAGATCTCCAACAGTGAAGAACAGTGTTTCTCAACCTTGGCCGCTTGAAGATGTGTGGAGTTCAACTCCTAGAATTCCCCAGCCAGCCCTGCTGGCTGGGGAATTCTGGGTGTTGAAGTCCACACATCTTCAAGCGGCCAAGGTTGAGTAACACTGGTGAAGAAAGTAACTCCAGTTGGTTGAACCATGCAGTCATGCCGATGGGGCCAAGCTATGGAGCTCAGCAGATGATCAAATATCTTGAAATTAGAATACTGGGCAATGAGCAGAATCAAAGACTTGGATATCATGTTAAGATACCCAGGTTGGAGCTGCTACACCTGAATAAAAGAATCTTAAATGAAATGGTTAATAATCACCCACATATTTTAATAGCTGCTCTCCAAAGCTTCTAAGTAGCAGCAGAATCAGTGTCCATTCCATACAAACACAAAACCTTGATTCTGCATGCTAAAAGCCTTCTCACTGAGCTATGGCTGTGGTATAAAGCACATGCTACATGCCTTCTGTATGAGATCAGGGACACATCCAGCAAAGCTATAAAGGTCGAAATAAGTGTGAATAAAAAACATTATACAGCCAAAGCAGTTCTGAAAGGAGGGCAAACACCACATTTCTTTTCTTGCCCTGCATCAGTCAGCTGATGATTCACCAATAAAACTTCCCTCACCTGGTCACTTGGTGGCAACATTTACTCGCTACTGATAATATGGACAGTGTCCTTGGGGAAGGACAGCACGCATGTTTTTCAATGGAAGATCAAGAATTTTGTTCCGTAGCCTGGAATGTAAATGCAGCGCTCCCAGCCCCGGAGACAAAGCTTCATTCATCCTGACAATGGCCATGCACCAAGGATACTTCAAGTCTCCACAAAAGGCATGCGTGCACAGTCATCCTGTCTTTAGGAGACAATCCAAGATCCTGAATCTATAAATGGACACTGCACTAGGAGCACCAGTTTTGGACTGGACAACTTCCTAAGAAGAAGAAAGGTCCACATTCTATTTCCAACAATGACCAGCCACAAACTCCTACGCAGGGCAGGAAGAAACCAAACGTTCTGATACCCCACCCCAATGTTCAAAGACGCCTCTGCCTTTTTCAGTACAAGCATGTCTTCCATAACTTAAGAGTAGAAGAGGTCTCTTCCATAAATTTATAGATTACTGTTAAAAAGCCGTTTTGTTTGTGTTGGAAACAAACTCCGCAGCCCATATTTTCCTAATCTAGCAGTCTCTAAATGTGTTGGGGTTGGTAACTGAGGGACTCAGGGTATTACAGCCCCAAGATGCCCTAAGGCAGTGTTTCTCAACTTTAAGATGGGTGGACTTCAACTCCCAGAATTCCCCAGCCAGGTTGAGCATCAGGGAAACCGAGCCAGCTGTCCTGATTCCAGTTCAAACCTTTTAAGGGTATGATGGACAGGCCATACCTAAGCCTCTTCTTAAGCGGATCATTCAGCCTGCAGAGAATTTCACGTCTGTACAGATTAGGTTTTGATTTGGCTCATTAACAGGAATATGTCCTTTAAGCTTCCCAATTATTCGTCAGTCCTTGAATAGGCTGAACTCTAACCTCAGGTGGAGCCGAGTTGCTTCAGAATGCAGATTTGGACAAATTCTGGAGGGCTAAGAGGTCATCTACTTCAACAAGCAAACCCGGAAAGTGCAAGAATCCAACAGATTGGAAACAGATGCTATCCAAAGATTTATAACACAATCAACATTCTCTGGCTCAGATCGGTCTGCGGGGGACAGAAAAGCCTGGCCTTGCTCAAGCTTAAAAACAGTGACAGTCCCACACATCCTCAAGCAGAAAATTATTCCTTTGGATCAGTGTTTTTCAAACTTGGCAACTTTAAGATGGGTGGACTTCAACTCCCAGAATTTCCCAGCCAGCATGAAAAACATTGTTTTAGATAGATATATTTCATTTTTTCCCTTCAGGCTTAGAGCCTCAGCCACTATTTCAACAAAAACCTCTGAAATAAGTGGTATGTAGCACCGGTCTACCTTAAGAGACTTTTCTGCAATTTTAAAATCACGTAGGTGACAAGGGTGACCCTGGAGTATCCTTGGGGGGCCAGTGTAGGAGGAGAGCCGTGTTGTCTATGGTGGCAAAAAACCAGGTAGAATTTGGTACCACCTTTTCTGGCTAACTTTTAATACAATTTGTTAGTTGCCAGAAGCCTTCTGATCTTGGGGAGACCTAGACACAGAACCCAGCATGGATAGATCCCAAGTAACTGAATCATGACCTGCTGCGTGTTACCCCCAGATGGACTCCAATCACTCCCAACCAGCATGAACGTTCCACTAACAGAGGGTGGGAGCCAGTTTGGCGCAGTGGCGAAGGTGCCGGCTAGAAACCAGGAGGCTGTGAGTTCTAGGCATGAAGGATGGCTAGGTGCCTTGGGGCCAGTCCCTCTCTCTTAGTCCAACCCACCTCACAGGGTTGTTGTTGTGGGGAAAATAGGAGGCAAGAGTTTTAGGTAGGTTCGCCGCCTTGAGTTGACCAAATATTAAAAAAAGACAGGACAAAAATCTGATGATGATGATGATGGGGCGGGGTGGGGTGGGGACTGGCAGCAATGTTCCTCAAAGAAAAGGCAGGCTTCTGCTCAATCCACTTTAATAGCTTCCAGTCAGAAAAAGCAGGGTGGGTGTCTTGCCCACCTCACTGCCAGCAAGTATTCTTCTCTCCATTACTGCATGAAAAGATTATATAAAGGTAGAAAATACATATTCGGCATTACAGAATAGTGGTCTAACTACAGAAAACCTGCTTGGAATGGTCAGCATTTGAGTCTGGTGTTGAGGGTGGCGTGTCTCAGCTGGACATTGTGTCTTATTCTCTATAGAGATAAATATTACAAGAATCGGCCTAGAGAAATCTGAACGAATCACAGAATCCTATACTGTAAGGGCTGGGAGGGACCTTGAAGATACATTAATTTAATCCAGCCTGTAGCTGGAATCCACTATTACAGGACTTCCAAACAGCTCCACTGAAGGAGAGTCCACCATCACCACCAGAGGCAGTCTTTCCACTGTTAACAGCTCTTATCATTAGGAAAACTTTCCTGATATTTAACCGAAATCTAATTTAAACCCTTTGCTTCTTATCTTATCTTCTGGAACCACTCTGAACAATTCTGCCCCATCCTACATGACTGCCCTTCAAATACTTGAAGACCGCTCTCATGTCCCCCAGGCTGAACATCTCCAGTTCCTCCAACAGTTCTTTGTAAGTTTATCCTTCTGGGCCCCTTCCCATTTTGGCTATTCCCTCTGGACTTGCTCCAGTTTGTCCATGTCCTTCCTAAAACACAGTGCTGAGACTTGGGTGCGATATTTTAGGTGCTGTCTGACTAATATACAATGGAGAGGCACAATTTCTCACAGCACTACTGTCAGTCAAGCACTGCATTTGCTTTTTTTCCACGGCCTCACACTGTGGGTTCCTGCTCACTGTGGGTTCTCGTGTTCTCTCCCATTCTATACTCATTCCTTGGTTTTCCCTACCCACATGTAGAAATATTCACTTGTCCCTGCTGAAATTCATTTCTTTGGTTTCTCCCTATCGTTCTGGTTTGTCGATATCTTCCTGGATCCTGAGGGGTTCTCTAAGCAGTTTGCAACTCCCCCTATTTCTGTGTAGTCTGCAATATTGATAGTAATTTTATCTCACCCTTCATCCAAGACATTAAGTTGAATAGCACAGGGCCTAGAATGGGCTGCTGATGCACAATAGTTTGGCGGGTTCACTCAACCAGCTCTGTGTCAATCTACGGGTACCACAGTCTAGCCCTCTTTTATCATCTTCTGCAGATAGAGAAGGAGGAGACAGAAAGGCAAATCTTCTCCCCACTCCTGAGACTCCAACCAGTCAATGAGAACTGATGCAAAAGGGTGCATCAGTGAGTAGTCATGATGAATTGTCACCACTTCTGACACAGAGAACATCTAGCGACCATCCCGAGTCATCTAGCAGAGTAAATCAACCAGGTCCTCATTACCAAAGAAGCTATCAAAACCGGACAATTTCGTATCCTGCCTCAGAAATCTGGCAGCAAAGCCAAAAGAGTGTCTACATTCACTTAGAAAGAATACAAGGAACACACCTTTCTACTGGTCAAGCTTACAGACATGTACTCAGGTCAACTCTATCTCCTGATACAAAAGCAGCTGTAAAGAGGACCTTCCTTGCTGCTATGATATTTCTGGGTTTAAGGAATACCATAGCAACATAATACTGGCACTTAGGGGGGACCACATTTATATGCCTTAGAGCAATGTTTCTCAACCTTGGCAACTTTTAAGATGTGTGGACTTCAACTCCTAGAATTCCCAAACCAACATAGCTGGCTGGGGAATTCTGGGAGTTGAAGTCCACACATCTTCAAGTTGCCAAGGTTAGGAAACACTGCCTTAGAGCCCCGGGCCCAATTGTGTCCTTCTAGAGCAACAGTACCTGTTCAGCAGCAATGTAAATTAAAGACAGCACCCCCACAACCCAGATTAGATGGGAGGCACCAAGCTGAGGCCCAAGAAAGATCAAAGCATAACTCAGATCAAGGATGGAGACTGCTAGTTAAGGTAAATCTGGACTATTTCCTTTTCTGTCCACTCTGGAAATTTGCCACTGTTTCCCCATCCTCTGGAATGAGACTACTCTGAGAAGGACCAGATCCCAAGAAAGGACTCCCTATTTTTAAGCCATAAAAACAAACAAACAAAATCTCTATTGCTAGACTATTTAGTAGCTTTGAAGTAGCATTTTCAAAACACAGCAGCCCCAGGTGTGATGTAATGGTAACCTGTATATTGATTAGGAATTGTCAGACTTCCAATCCTCACGTGTTTATTTATTAAGCTTATATGACCACCTAGCTTACCTAAAATAATCCTAGATGGCTCACAGCCACAGGCAATAAAACAGGAAATAAACAATACTCACAAAAACCCTTACCAAAAAAAAAGAAATAAAAAAAACCCATACCCCCCACGGCGCCACAACATCCCATCAACTCCACCTTTGCTGGGCTCACTTCCATCCTAGCCCAGGGCTTGGGGGAAGAGCCAGATCTTGACAGCCTCCCAGATGTCTGCCCTAGATGGAAAACAAAAGATGGCGATTTTCAATCTCTTACCTATAGACGGGGATTTGAAGGGGTATTTGTCAGGAAGGTCCACTCTAACTTTCCACACGCCACCTTCATACGGTGCTGCAATTGGAGATTAAAAAAAAAAGTTAAGAAGCTGAGTTGTACATTCCCTTGAGGCTTCCGGTATCACGTTACTTAATTAGACACGCAAGACAGACATGAAGGTGAAATAGAACACTCTATTCCAGGGTTTCTCAACCTTGACAACTTTAAGATGTGTGGACTTCAACTCCCAGAATTCCCCAGCCAGCCATGCTG